AAGAATTTCTTATGCTTTCACCAAACAAACAGATCAGCAAGAGTACTGAAAATTACTGGGCCACAGGCATTTATTACAGAGTCAGTAAAGGTAATTTAACCAAACAATAACACACTGAAGAGGAAAAAATGAGTAGCACTTGACTGACTGCCAAATCTGTTTTAGTTCACAAACCACACAAGAACTCTGACCTACATTTACTGAGTTGCTGTATTTAGTTTTCTCTTACTTTTAATCCAATACAGTATTCTTGGCTGAATAAATCAGCTTCTGCTGAGAAAGCTCTTGTCTTCCTAATTTCACCTGAAAGTTTCTAGTCATACTTCAAACATAGCTTACTGTGTACAATTGTTGTGGTGCTAAAGTTCTGCAAAGGCTGGTAGGACATGCTGGGACTTAGATGGGGGCATATATTTCATTATTAATATCAAGTTGAAAATGATCTCAACAGCAATGTAATCATTTTCTTGTCACTGATGTCACTGCCACAAATAATATGGATTATCTGTAAGTGATTCTGTGCTTAGCCTCTCCCAGGCAGCTTAGAAAGCATTAGGTAACACAAATGGCTACAGCTCAAAGCTATCTGGAATTCTGATCACCATCCTCAGACAAACTTGTGAAGCTATTCCAGCCACAGTCCTTTCCCTCTTGTTTTGTTTCTCCAGTCACTGTGTGAATTTTTATTTCTGTGACAGCTGCTGGCTTGCAGCTATTCAAGTTAGAACTAATTTATCTTTTACTTGTCCATGCCCCTTCTTAATATTTCTGAATTCAAATTTACAATATTAAAAACAGAAGGCTTTAAAATCTGTGGTGATGTATTGGTAATATAAATTAACTCACAGAGGAATCCCACAGCTGACAGTTAAAAAAGGTGATCATAAGGAGGCTGATCTCAGCAGCTATGCCGGCTCACTGTATGCTGTGAAACCATGCCCTCATGGAGCTAACTCTAGACACCATCTTCACTTAACACATTTAAATTAAAATTTACTTAGAGCCTTTAAAATAGCTAACAAACAGTGACTGCCATCAGTAATTTACATTACAAAACCCTCATGACAATTTTCTATATTGACTATGTGTTCTGCATACTCTTACGGACTGCCACAATTATTTTTAATGAAGCATTTGCTCATTAATTTACAGTTCTTTCTAAACAGAATTCTAAAAATATCTTTATATGGCAGCACAGCTGAATTTGTAAGACACCAGCAATCTCAGGACACCAACAGATATGACATCACTGAGTGATTAAAAGCTAAGCTGTGAAAAATGCATCACTTCTTGGCATATTAGATAGACTAAGAAAAACAGAAAGGTTACTTTAGAAAATAACTTTGTCTCTAAAGAAGTATTGATGTCAAAGACCAAAAAGAGAAACTTAAATTATGTTTTCTGATTTTAATCTCTTTTTTCCCCCCATAAAAACTACCAAATGCATCTAAAGCATCAACAATTCAATAACAAAAATTTTCTCATGCAGTGACTAACCATATGAATCCATGACAGGTTTGAGGTCCTTGTATTGAGTAATAACACTGGTTGTCTCCTGTATAGTTAGGTCTCTATACTTATACTGAAAAACAAAAGAGACAGAAATTACTTCAGAGACTACACTTCCAGAGTAATTTAATTCTATTTTACCCAATAGACTGCATCTATGAGAGTTTACACTGATAAATGGATATTCTTCTCCATTCTTGATTTGGAATAAGAATTTAATTGTCCATTAACTGAACACTATTACTGGCATTGCCATTATTAACTTGTCACTGTCATTATTGTATCTGTCATTAACTTGACACTGCCTATATAACTTACCAAACTTTAACGAAGTGTTAAGATGTTTTTAGTCTTAAATAATGGTCCACGCATAAGTCATTTGGGAAAAGCTACTCCATTTTCTTTCACATTCTACTGTAAGCAGCAGGATCTGAGAGATACGTGTGTATTTTGAGAAAGAAGAAAAATAAGGTATCTCCAGAAAAATATAGTGATGTTTTGAACATTCCTGATAAAAACTTATCTAGGATCTGACTCTCACAGGTATCTTTCACAGCACTTTTCAAAGCAACACAGTATTTAAGCATCATTGATTAGCATTTTCATGTATTTTATTGTCTAGAAAGCAGACATATCAAGGCACAATATTACCAGTAATAATACTGCGTTTCATCCCCTTCCTTTTATCAGGAGCAGGGAGTAGCTCAGAGCACAGATGACCTGTAAACCACAGATACACTGCAACAGAATGTAGCAGTCTCAGAACTATAACCCTGAGACAGCAAAGGAGAAGCTCCTGGGCAACAAAAGGTTGGTTCACCACATGGTGCAGCTTTTTAGCCTTGTGGCCATTCCTCCCGATAAATACTATTAAAAAGAAAAGCCAGCAATGTGGTCCCTGGACAATGTTTTCAGTGTAACACAACTAAAAAACCTGCAATCTTCAGATGTCTTAAGGAACACAGACATGCCTTCAGGAAGACAAAGGGCCCAGAACAACGAAATGCCTGATATCCAAAGCTCTCAAATGTTAACAACATCTGAACAAATTAATTCAGACATTATCCAAGAGCAAACTGTGGTGCCACAGCTAAAGGTCACCTTGCTTCTGACAAACATTTATGAGTTGTGAAGCTTAGAAATTAACTCTTCTTCCTGTTACCTACAGAGACTGACAGGGATGCTCCTCCTGGGCATGACCACTTGTATTTACTGAGCAGAGTTGAAGGCACCACGCCGCTTCCCATAATGCCACCTCAGCCTGCAGAGTGATGCTGTGGTGAACCTTGGGTGATGCTGTGACTTATCTGCCTGAAATGACCAGGGACAACACAGCCACACGGTCTCTCTGCAAGATGCTGGTCTGTGGGAGAGAAAGCAACCCTTCCAGTAGGGATGCCTCCCTTCCATGCAGGGAGGCACCAGCGTGGAGATCAGTCAACCCCTGGGTGCTGATTTGATGGGAGGGTTGCAACAAAGCATCTCAGCCTCCTTTGGAAAAGTAATATTGTTGCAAATAGTTTTTACACAGAGGGTGATGAGTAGAGAGACACTTGTAAGATTTCAGCTACTGCCACAAGCAAAAATTAAGTGCTACATGAGCTGTTAATTCCCATACTTAGATCCATTTCCAAGACATGTCAAGATCTTTTTGGAAAATAATCATTACTACAAAGGTGATTAAAACTGATCAATTTGAATTCCTGATTTCTAGAATTTTTTTTCCTCCTCCACTCTCAGATGGTAAATGCATCCCCCTCGTTTTACATATCAGGTAACAGATCACAGAAGGATGAAGCTTTTTAAGATCACACAGCAGCTAAATACCTGAAGGTAAATTAAGTGCTTACATTTACCAGAACTAGGGGTCTTTTGTTATCTCACACACTGAACTATTTAACATGGGAAATATCACTGAACTTTTCTCTGTAGAACGGGAAGTGTAATTATTTTAGAAAAATAAACATAAGGTAGTGAGTGAAACACCGTCTTCATTGTTCATCAGCTATCAAGCACATTTCACTTTGAACTGACCTGCAGAAAGTTAGATGGGAGTATAAAATGGGCAAGTGTGGGGAAATGAGGACAGTGGACTAATTTAGAAAAGACAAGTATATACAAATACATACACGATGTCACTTGCTGACACTGACTAAGCATTCAACACTCATTTTCAAGCTGAATGAAAGAATCTGCTTATGAGTCCATAGAGGTGAAAGACCCTTTAATAACGTTTCTTCTGTTTTGATCAGATTCTCAACTACTGTATTTCATTCTAAAACTGTGCAAATAAAATGATTAAATGTTGCTAAAAAATTCCCCCAAACAAACCCATAACCTCCCCCTAAATATTCAGCCTTAGGGGATTTCATTTCAACCCATAACTCCCCGTGTGTTCAGCCTTTGGAGTTTTCATTTCAGGCTGCTGGACAAAGCCCAGTTTTCACCTGAAGAGCGGCATACGTGGCTCTGTATGATTCACGATGTGATTAATGATTTGCCTTCCAAGAGCTGTTCTCGTTTCCTTGAACACCGGCGATAATAAAACCCACCCATCCCAGGGAACGATGCGGACCCTGCCTTCCCCCTCCATGAGTGAGCACCGGTGACACTGCACAGCCCCACGACCCACACCGTGCTCCGACCCCCGACGGCGCCTGGCAGTGTCCCAGCCCAGCACCGCAGTCTCGCAGGGCTATTCTGCCATCGGCGCGCCATTCCTCCCTTAACTCCATCCACAGTCTCCCGGTGCCTCGGCCCCGCCCCCCCCCCCCCCCACCTCGCCGAGCCCGCCCGGCCGCGGCAGCACCTTGGTGAGCATCTTCTTGAGCTGGCTCTCGGACACCGCCATGGCGGCCGCCCCTCTGCCGGTGCCGCTCGCGGTGCCGCCTGCCCGACCCTACATAAACACAGGAAGCGGCCGCGCGCCCGCTTCCGGCGGCGGCGCCGCTTCCGCGCGTCACGGGGCGGGCGCGGGGCGGCCCCGCCTCCTCTGCCACAGGCACCGCACGGAGCGCCCGGGCGGCTCTGGGCAGGGCAGCTTATTGTTAAAAACCCTTTCTGTGAGTTAATTCTCCCCCTGATAAAGCCAGGTGCCCTTCCCACTGCGACGACGGAGCTGCGGTCCTTTGGTTCTTGTTCACGGAACGCGACACAAACACAAGATCAGGAGCATTAATGTACGAAACATACCTGTGAGAGTTGGCAGCTTAAGATATATAAAACAACACCTTGACTATTCGCATGAAAAAAAATGCTTAACAGATGAGAAGCGATACCTTGAAGAACAACGTAAAACCTTAATTTTCATAGTGTTTTTTCCAAAGTAAGTGGGAAACAACCCAGAAAAGTGCAGCCATTGCGTTCCATGGTTTTTAAAAATACAGCAGCAAATTTGGTTACTTGCAGCCATTACTAATTTTGTCCCAACACTGACCACCACAATAAAGGAAATTTGAGTTTTCCACAAAAAAAAAGTCTGAATCACTGAAGGCTTTTTTCTATTTTTATCTCAGTTCTGAGATCAGTATACACCCAGAACTCCTTGCAAGTCTGGTTCTTTGTGAGATATAAGCAGAAGGCACAAAGGAACAGATCTTGGGCTCTGCCATAGACCTTACTTTTGCTTAGAAAGCTTCATCAATACTTCATATACATTCATTAAAACCAGACTCCCCTCAAAGCATAAACATGGAATGACGTTCCTAAGCTGCACACAGCAGGAGTGGAGCCCACATCTCCTCTGCCTGCAATGTGATGCTGAGGTACAACCAGGATGGATACAGTCTTTTACAGTACAGCAAATCAAGAAGTTAGAACCCCCCAAAAATCTCAAAAAACATCTGCTTTTTGACTTATCTAAAAACGCACATTCAGCTTTTTCATCCCACCCTTGGCCTCCTAAGGAGGTGGGTTACAGGTTCTGTTGCCTTCTCGAGCAGCTGTATGTTCCTCAGCCTGACGTAAAGCTCAATGCCCTCAGCTGGCTTTGGAGCGAGGTCTGAATGCACAGATACTTCTGCATTCCTTAACTGCTGGATTTTGTCCTTTATTTGAATCCCATTCAGGAAGAGCACCTGTTGCAGTGCTGCATGTGTATACTGAGAACTGTAGATGCCTTAGTGCTCTGAATGTCTTTACGAAATAAAAGCAAAACAAGTCATGACCAGAATATTCCCGACAGCATTAAGCATGCCACACAAATCCATATCCAATACTTCAGCTCTGAAGGGTATTGCTAACACTGTGCTCCCCTTAGCAGGATTAGTAAGAGGTAATTAGCAGTTCATTGACATAAGAGCATCAGCAATAGTCATGAAAGATGGAGCTATGGAATGAGGTGCAAAGAGCTAAGATTAACCCAAGAATCAGGCTATAATCAGCAACCAAAAACAAGAGGCGAATGTCACCTGAATTCAGGTAAAACATTCTTGCATATTACCCTCCCCATTTTGGCTACCAAAAGTGCACTTTTCAAAGAAGACATTACTGTACAGAGCAGTATTACATAATTTAAACCAAAACTGAGAAAGCACTTTGGGAAAGTAAAGTAACAAAACTTCCTGTTTTACATAGAAATCCATATATACGAAGCAACCTCTTCTGCCTTGCAAATCTCCGACTTGTGTGAGCAGACACGGAGGCCTCCCTTGTGCTTCCTTACAGCTTCAGCTGCTGCTGAAGGTCATGAATTGACCCTGCGCTGCTTTGCAGTTTCTCTTGCACCAGTGGGTCTTCTTCCAGTTTGACCACTTCAAGCACTCCCTTGGTTCCAAGAATACATGGGAGACTTAAGAACACTTCACTGTTTATATTGCAACATCCCTGAAACAACACACAAAGAACACTGTCACACGGTTACTTGTACATGCCATCTGAGGCATGTACGTACACAAAAGAATTGATTATTTTAATTAAGCAAGGATATTCCATCATATGGCGTTTGGATGGGTCAAATTCCAGTTATTTTACATACTCTGCAGTGGGTTACTGTATAGAAACTGGAAAAGATTACGGTGCAGATAAAAATTTGTGAACCATGCCACACTTGGAGGAGTTTTCCAATATAGATATATCATATCTCTATAACACAGGCAAAGTTTATACTATTAACACCCATTCCTTAGGTAGAACAAGCAGGGACACTTGATAGTACGGTATCATTAGTTCTTTTAAGACTGACCAAAATAAAGTAAAAAATATAGCCAAAGAGAGGTATCTGGGGAACATTTTTCAAGTACTGATCCCATATTTACTTTGTGAGAGAATTCATCCAACTTATATTCCTATAATTCAAGTTTACACTGTAGACTGCATTTATTTTTAGGATCTGTATGGGAAATTTTAAACTGGAGAGTAACTACAGAATGTAAAAGACTTGTCACCCCTCTGTATCTGAATTTAGTTCATAAACTATTAAAAACTTTATTTGAAACATAATGATGAAATTAGGTACGTGTTTGTACTCGAAAGAATAAGCAGCAGCTTCCCTGCACTGGGACATGCAAATCACCCTTTTAAAGGCTCTCATTTGAAGGGACAAGTACATGTTTCTACATGGGTTTTCTCGTCATACGACGTGACTTAATGCTTCAATGAAGCCTCTTAGGATAAGCTTTAAACCAAGTTCAGTCTATAATTTTAAGTTAACTAAAGCTTCATAACTTTTGCCTCTAATTAAAGTATCAAGGAGTAAAAAGGCAGCTGTTTCAAACCTGGTCAAATAAAATAATGGCAGAAATGCATTTTGTACTTTCATAAAAGATACTGAACTCTTTCAGCCTCTAAAAAAATCTACATTCAATACTAAACACTCAGGAACTGCAATTCACACATTTCTTTTCATTTGCCCAATCCAGCTATTGCAGGGGTGCTGGTCAGCAACCTTGAATGTGTTTCCCTTTTGGACATGTATTTTTGGGAGAATAATCCACTTTTAATATTGGTTTCAGATTAAAGCATTAACTGACTTTAACTCATTTTTGGACTATATTTGAAAGCTGTGGTTGGAAGAAAGCAACAGCAGTGGCATTGCTTCAGACATGCCTGTCTGCTAAAATTAATGGTCATATCCAGTATAAATAATATAATTACACTGCCAACCAAAAGATATTAATAACACATTTACCTTTGCCAGAGTGGATATAGAATGAACCTTTCTTCTATCTTTCAGAATGCTGTCAGTCAAATCAGCAACTGAGAGCCCAACAGACCAAGATCTCTGACCTTTTCCCTTCAGAACTTCCATAGCTCTATATATAAATCAGGAAAAGAAGAAAAACATGATGTTTAGATTTTAATTATTCCTATTTTGGTTTATTTGTAAAAACCAGAAGACAGATTAAGTGCACCATATCAGGTATAGTATACTATAAAAGTATGATTCTCTGTTTTGGAAAACAACAAAATGGAATAAAGAATTGCTTTAAAAAATTTCTTTACAATACTTTTTACCCACAGTAGTAACAATTCTCTTTTCTGTCAAGAGGTGTAACTAATAAATAGCTAATGGAATCAGGTAAATTCACCCAAAGCTGTGCTTTGCTTTGAAGCAAATGCTTCCAACACAAGCTCTGAGAAAAGTGTGTCAGAAGGCTTGTCTATTATTTTTTCTTTAACACACAGCCGAACTGGCAGCCTCTGGTATTCTGGTGTCTTCTCCATAGATTGCCACAGGCACAACTTCATTAAGAACTTCAGAAAAACAGTGACCATACACACTGACCAAAGGAGAATGACAACACGACCTACAATCTGCTATAAACTCAATGTATGAACATTTTAGAGCAAAGTTCACCCAATTCATAAAGAGAAAAAGGAGAAACTCTGCAAACATCAAGTACCTGAACATAAAGAAAAGGACAGGGTTACAATGGCGTTACCTGTTGGCCACCTTTTGCCTTGAGTTACGAGCAGCCATTCCTTCCGTTTGATTTGCAGCTAAATTATAACTGGTCCACGATGATACTAAATAGAAAAAAATCAATGCTTAAATGCATATCTAAACAGTGACTAACATAGGTACCAGATAAGGTGAGGAGAAGAACAATAAAAAGAAAAATTCAGGCTTTCCAAACTTTCCTTCCTCCACAACAACCCAAATGTAGATGACAACTTTTTAATGTTCCCTGGAGCGATGAAATAAACTCTATAGTAGCACCTTGCCAGAGACACTTCCTTAAAGATGATTGAAGTAATGTGTAATAATTGTTACAGTAGCAGTAACCTGCCATATATTATACCACATTTCCTTCCTCTTTCAGTACCTCTAACCTGTATTCTTACTATATTGTTAAAGCCAAAAAGAAAACCAGCATGAGGTTGGTTGGGGGTTTTTTGTGGGTTTTTAATTTTTGGTTTTTTTACTGTGACAAATGTCAAATACTTCTGCTATCACTCCAGGTCTACTGACTTTGGTACACACAAAAACTGTTTTACTTAGAACCATTATGAAAATCTACCACTCATTACTTTTCTTATTACCTTCATTATTTTTCTCAATTATCCTTTCAATATTCAATTACTTAAGCATTGCCAGGACATCATCTGCTCATAGTTATAAGAAAGTATCACTTTACCTTTGTCTTCCCCTTGTTCACCAATAACCCAGGCATCTTTTGCCAGCACCTCTGCTTTCAAAAGGTTTGTCAGTATGTACTGAAATCTCTCCGAGTCAAGATTGGCACCTACTCCAATCACTCTGCTTTTGGGAAAGGTGCTCAGCTTCCACGCCACATATGTCATTACTTCAACTAAATGTGAAAGGAAAGGATGTTGCCAATGAAGGACCACTCACACAATTCAACACAACTGCAAACTCTGAATCACAATGACAAAAAACTCTGGACCAAGTTTAGAAAATGCATAAGCATGTAAGAACATACTGGTAGTTTATTTCAACCTAAAATACCAAGTCAGGTGGGGAGGAGGTGAAAAAAATTCACAGCCCAAGTAAAGTTTTAAGAGAAATCAAGTGAAACTTCAGAATAAGCCACCACACTTCCCCATACCAAAAATCTCACAGGCTTGTACATTTAATTCAGCCAGTGTTTAATTTATTTTCATTTGGCAAGCACTCTGCTCCATCTCCACAGCTCAAAAATGGTAGGAAGGTAAGAGTCACTTGAGAAATATACACAAGGGCTGTCTTCAATGCATTTACAGGACAGAGGCTCACACTTACGTCTTTCCCTTTTAAGTAGTGATCTTGCTTTGTCTTAGTTCACAGTATCCCTGACCCAACCTTTAAACCTTTCCCCAAAATATAGCTGCAATATTTACTATGAACACTGTACTTTGTATATTAGTAGCCTGTGAGTGTGATCATATGGCACATAACACACATGCATCTGTCCTTCCTGCACAGGGGAAATGTGTACATAAAAATCACAACTGACAAGACAACAGCCAATGGATGTGAATCTTGTAGACACAGTCAGGTCGAAACTACATACAGAAACATACTGAAATACATACCTTTTATACAAAACAAAGTATACTATTTTCTTTTATCTTGGTAACAGTAAAGAAAAAACCCTCAAAGACAGTGTCCTGCTCAAAGCTGAAAAGGAAAACATCTTTCAGAGTGGTAAGAAGTTCTGACTATGTGGGTGTATTCAGCAGTAACACATTTTTAAAACAGGCCAAAGAAAAAGCCGTGTAAGGGACAGAACATTTTGCAAAGTACCAACATACCTGGATGAGAAGCAACAAGGAGAACAGCATTCTGACTGTAGTGTGATATTGCTGGAATAATTCCTTTGAACAAATCCACATTGCTTTGTATGACATCGAGGTAAGTCTGAGCATTACCCAGAGAATTAACTGTAACTACCACAACTTTTGAATCAGCAGAAGCAGAAAAATCTGAAAATACAAAGAAAAGAGGTTTTTAAAATTTATGTCATTCTATTGAGTCTTGGATGCAACACGAAGAGCCATTCTAAAGGCTAAACTGCAGCATCCAGCTTAATTAGGGATTCTTCACCTCCTGTCCCTCCCAATTTCCCCAGTGTGGAATTTGGGGCACTTCCACAGCACCTGTAAGACACTGCTCTCCCATAGAACTACTTTCCTGTTTTACAATTGCCAAACACAGAAGGCAGATTGCAATTTGTCCAAGGTTACACAGTAGGGACCAGAAAAAAATCTAGATAGCGTTGACAGTTAAACTTTTCCAAGTTTTCTTGGCAAGAGAGGAAAAAAAAATACATCTCTGAAAATGCTCCTTCATTTTTATTCCAATTGTTAAAGAAGGGGAAAGATTTTACTCCTAATTTTTGATCTTATACCTCACTCAAGGACATGTAGACAATCATAAAAAGCACTTCAAGTCTGTTTATTAACTCCAGTAAAAACCCATGTATTTATTAGCCCAAGGAAACATGCAACCACGTCTGCTGCAGGAATTTGTAAGTCAAAGCTGCCTTGAGCAGGTAACTTAAAATATCCGAGTACCACACAGGTGATCAGCTTGGGCACGGCAACAAGGTGATTTGACTGTTGCACCACTTCTGGAACCAGCTGAAACCAAAGCAGAGGCCTAATGCACTGACAAACTGGAAGCATACTAAGTAGGATATAATTAATACCAGCTTGCCCTAAACCTAGATATAAGCATACTAAAATAACAGGTGACAGTGTACAAGCATTTTGCAATACTGTAACACTACTAAGAGCACAGCCAGCAACAACATACAAGCTTTTTGTACCACAGCTAAATGTAAACGTATAATAGGCGACCACAAAGGCACAGACAGATTTGTGATACAGTTGCACAACCAGGGTTCAGGAAAAAAGTGTGCTAGCAGTAAAACCTGCAAGATAAGATCAAAGAATGTACAGCAGGCAATGCCAGCTGCAGAATAAGCAACAAAGACGCCTGGTGGAACCAGAACAAGTCCCTGTCCTGAAAGTAAGATAAATTACAACAGAAGCACAAGAAAGCCCCTCATTTCCTCTTGCAGAGGGTGCAAGGAACATGCAAACATGACACACAAGCAAGGAAGAATGGGGAAGTCGCTCATTTCAGTTTCAGCTTCCTCTGTGGAAGAGCTTCCGAGTTGCACTGCCCCAAGCTCTGCAACCCAGACCAAAGACTGTGGCCATCATCACTAATTACAGAGACATGGCATCGACTCTGTTGAATTGCACACTCACAGCTAACTGAGGACAAGATTTTTAAGAACTCATTGTTTGAATATGCAGTGATACTGATTAAGAACTAACTACTGGCATGTTTAATGAACATCAATTTAGAAAAGCAGAACTTTGAAAAATTCCTTTATTTATCAGCCTTTTTAACACTGGTCTCACAGCTCTCTCCAATTCCCTAACATACATATATTTTTCCCTCTTCTTTCCCTCTCTCTGCTTCTGACACTGAAGTATCAGCTTGGCTTCTATGTATTTCTGCACGAGCCCAATCTCAGCATTAGCCTCTTATCCTGGAAGTACAGACTAACATACCTCTACCTCTATAAACAATGGAAAAAGCCTGAAATAAAAGCTTTCAAGCTTTGCTGAACCTTCCTTTCCAATTTTACTCTGAAGAGACAGAGGAAAGCAAGAAGCTATGAAAAGAATACATCTTTTACAAATGACAGCCTGTATGCCTCTCTGTCTCCCCAAGTGTCCTGCTCTCATTAAAACAAGCACAAGCACACACAGTACAGCACTTGCTCCCATTCCAGAAACAACATCCAATACCTCTGCTGATCTCCACATTTGGCAGAGCAAAGATCTCCAAGTCCATGGTCCCTCCTTTTGCTGCACCTTCAGAAAGATCCAAAAGAATCACCTTGTCTGCAACACCCTGTATGAATAAAAATAACACAGATCAACAAGGAAACAAACTGAAACTTGTTGGAGAAAGGAATAAAACCCAAAATTCCTCCAATTCCAGTGTTTGTTGCACTGTGTACAAACCAAACAAAATTACTGACCAAGATTACAGCCAAATCACAAGAAAAAGAATTTAGTTTAGAAAGACACTCCTTTTTCAGGGGACTAGGAGATCCCAATTGTAAGAGGCCACCATTCAGGCAAGAACCCTCTAAGGAAGGATTTTCAAAGTAAGTGAATTCAATATTTAATCCTATGACTTAAAAAAAGCTGACTGAGAAACCAGGGCAGAAGTTAACACTTCTGCATGTCTGTAAGTTAACTAAAGAGGCAAATGACTTAAACAGTGACAGAGCTGTTAAAACTGCTGAGGTATTTTTAGTGTCAGACACTAAGAACTAGACTGGAAGCCTCTCTATTAATCAGGTTTGCTATTTTTATACTATTTTATAATTATGTACCTTTGCTGCAACTGCTAGCACACATGCAATGCCAAGATCTCCAGCTCCAACAACAGTAATTTTATTAAAACATCCTTCATTTTTGCCTCCAATTTTACTCCTTGATTTCATGTCAGTCTCTCCTACAAGTAAAAGAAAATCACAAATTTAGGTGCTAATCCACACTGTATTAATACAAGTATTGCTGCTTCATAAAGGATCATGGTTGTGCCAGAGTTAAATCAAATTACACAAACCTTTTCAAAACAGTGGTCAAGCCTGACTGCAGAAAATTCATCACAACCCGCAAGGTTGTAAAACACAAATACTCCTCTTTAGATAGGAATGTTTTTTCACTAAGTAGAAACATATGAGCAACAATAGCAAGAAGCTAGACACTAATATCACACAAACAACGCTCCCTTTGCTACTGTTACAGATGTGAATACATATCATGGTCAAAAAATTTGTAAAAGATATCATATTTTGAAAAGACATGCAAAATGGAATTTGATTAAAATACAAGAACCTGAGGTTGCTTAGCCAATGCTACTGGCAACACAGTGATTCTCATTCTGAGTATAATGCAGAGAGATTCGTAACCGAAACATTTAAGATTGATTGTCTAGAAACGTGTATCATGTGCACACCGCGTTTGAGCTCACAAGCAGTTTGTGTACACAATTACCAGAAGAAACAGTAGAAAAGGGTTAAAGGGAAAGGTTTGCACAAGCTGCCACAGATCACCATCTGTGATTGCACTAAATAAAGGAAGAAGAAAAGACTGACCTGAAGAAAATGTATCAGGGTGAAGAGTAACAGGACTGGAGCCATAAAACACCCAAGTACGGAAAACCTGGGAACTGTGAAATTCAGGAATTTTGCCCAAGACTTAAAATGGGTGAGATAAAGCAATGAGGCAAAATGCCAAATTGCATCCACTCCTGAAGGGTATAAAAGACAAGTCCAAAATCAGCTTGTCAGCACTGAACAAGGAGAACTCAAGACACACGAAATGAACTCCACAGCCAGCGTTCCTTGTTCTCAGTGCTGCACAGCAGTGACTGGGGTCAGCTGGGTCTCAGGGCTTGTGACTGAGTGTGAGAGTGAGTGAGATCTGAGACAACGCATGACTAGGATTGCGTAAAATCAACTTGTTCAGAATAAAATCGCATCTCCCTTCCATAAAATCTCAGACTGAGTTTTCCTGCAGTGATTTCCAAAAAATTAGTAGTATCAAGTCTACAGTAGTTTTCAGTAGGCTTAAATGCAAACATCCAAAACGAGCTGCTTACTAAATAAAGAGAATCTGAGCTCTCTGTTCAAAGAGATACTTTTGACTACACAGAGAAAACACAATACACTGTGGACAGGTAAACTCCAAAAATTCAGATATTAAAACTGTGTAGTGTTCTTTGTGATATCAAGTAATAACAATAAATGAATATATCAGAGAACATTAGAAACAAGTTCATGAAAACATCCACACCTTCTGTAATCTTTGCAATGTAGGACAGAAGTTCTGATTGCCTGGCTGCATCAGAGGATGACAGTGAATACAAAGGGAGCTCTTCCTCAAATTTTGCAATCATTTCCTTGATTAATCCAATGACAGTCGATTTAGGCTGAAATATAGCAATACAGAAGACAAAACAGCTGACTAGCTATTTCATATAGTGATACCAGCTGTGAACTCCCATAGTTATACACAGTTTAAGCAAATCATAAATATTGACACCCTTAATATTTACACGAACATTTAAGGGAAAGAAAAGCATCACTTTTTGAAAAGATACTTTCCAAACAGGAGTATGAAGTAAAAGGAATTTAACAAAAAGGAATTCTAAAATTGAAATTGGCAGTGCAACTAATTTTTGAATGCATCCATGAACATATGGAAACCTTTGATATAGCCACATCCAGTATCATAAAAGGGACAAATCCTAGCTAAAGGAAAGATAGTTCAGTCTTCTCAGATGAGCATTACTGTCCAGAGTTCTTGCAATTCAGCCCTTCTTCAGGCAAAATACACGGTGAAGTCAGTAAAAGTTCTCATAGGAATGTCTATATCAATAAAGTAAAATATAGTCTATCCATTTCAGAAAGCTGGAATTCATTAAATCATTTTTACTGGCCTGGCAGTCCTATTTAAGTGAGTAATTTAACACAGTGTACAGAATCATTCTGCAACAGCATTGGCTCTAGAATCTCTCTGCTGTTTCAGAGCTCTGCCAACAGAGACATGCCCAAAAGGTAGAACCTTCCATTGAACTTTCCTAGGGATACTCAATTGGTCTAGTACTATGACTCACTATTAACAGCAACAAAGTATCATGAGGCTTACACTGCTTTGGAACAAACTGGGTCCCTTTTCTTCAGCTTAAAATAATTTTCCTTCAAATCACTTACAACTTCCTTTACAATTGCTTTGAACTGCCTGAAAGCTGTAATTTCAAGAGACATAACATTCTGCTTCTCTTCACATAACTATTGCATATTTAAAATTAACAAAAAAAAATGCAGAAAACAAAAAGCCCTGAACCTTACTCACTCCACTCCATGGATCTCAGTATGATACCACGCATTATTCCCAAGTACTTCCCCCCCGTCAGCCACTCCACCTCTTACATGGCTCCAGTTCTGCAGGTAGGGCAGATAAATCCTGCCATGAGCATCAACATGCTTCCCCACTGAAATGCCCATGTTTGCAGTTGGCTTCAAGAAGCAAATAGGGGGAGCAAAGGGATGAGAATCCAGAATCCACAGCTGAATAGGTATGTTATAGGAATTACCTGTTCAACACAAAATAAAAGCCATTAGTAACATCTGCATTGGGAAGAGGCACTAAAAGCCAGTCATGTGTGTGATGTGATTTACACTTCATAATAGCAAAGAAAAAAAGCCTGAGAGATCGCTTTCCACATTCACACAGAGTATTTATGTTACTTAGGCTAGTTAACAAACACAGACTTGTCTGGATCGACTTGAAGTGCTACTGATCGTGTCTTTCTTAATATAAAGCTCTGTGGTTGTTTTGCTTCCCAAGGTCCTCTTATCAGCCAACGTGTCCTCTTTTCCCAGCAAAGAAATCACTTAAAGGTACCATTTCATATTTATTTTAGGACTTAACAACTAGTGCAAAGAGGCAGCTATTAAGAGCTTTACCAAAGGCTTCAAGTTAAAAATAAAAAATTACCTACTGGTTATTTTTGGACACTGCCTATACAAGCATAGGGCTTGTATATATAGAGTTCACACAACCTCCATTAGAACCAAAGAGTTTGCCTACACAGTCTCAAACTACATGACTTTTTAATATTTAATTTACCTATATAATTAATAATTTTTAATTTCAGCATCTGTTTTTGCATCTGCACCTGTTTTTGCAGAAGTGGCTTCTGCCAATTCATGCAAAATGCTTTCTAGCCCTCTTTAAAGAAGCTGCACTACTGCTAAGAGGCAGCACCCAACACATTTCACAATTAGATTCATAACTGGCAAGAAAATTTGATTTATCTTACCATATTTCACTGGAACAGTACCACTAAAATTCAGGAGGTCCTTCTGGGATCCATCCTTGAAGGCTGAAATTAAAAATGTGATTTTAAAAAATAATAAAAGCTTTCAAGTCTGTGATGGTAGTCCCATCCACAACTACCAATATACCACACCGATTTTTCTTTAGAAATCAACCACACTGCCCCTGAAAGAGCCAAGACTAGAATGCTACAAAGGTCCCACCTCCCCTTTTCAGTATTTCCTTAATGGAATCTTAATGAAAATTGCATCATTAGTCTGAAAATCCCTTGTCCTGGGTAATTCTGATGTTGCAGGAATTTTCAGTCAGGCTGAGGGATGCTGGAAGTACACTCTATAAGATACAAATAGCAAAATGCTTTCAATACAATCGTGAAAAATGGGGAAAATGATGTTACATATAAAGATTTTAAAACATCAACCTTCTATAATTACTGACAAGCTGAAATAAAATGAAGTGAATAAGTCATCGAGGTTTTTATATAGAGTCGAAGTAAAGACAGGAACACAACTGAAAGATATTCACACTATTTAGATTCTGTTATACACAGCCTGAATCTATGGTAAGTAAGGATCCCCACAATTAGTTCAAAGTAATTGTATCACTTCTTACTGTACGTGTTCATGGAGAACGTGAAGTTTGGGTATGTCTTGCTAACATTCTTCAGCTCTTCTATGGTCAGGTCTCTGAACTTATACTGGGAAGGGGGAGAAAAAAAAATCAGGAAAAAAAAGTTTCATTTCAAAGGATTCTTTCTTTACCAGAGATAGCAAAAAGGATACGAGACAAGGCAGAAACACAAGAAGGGGAATGTAATAATTACTCGTGGTATTAGAAGTAGTTTTGATGTGAAATATATAATCAAAAAGAACTGATTACAAAAAGGCTTTAAAGGTATCACAGGTCTGCTGTTGCTGCATAAGAACTCAAATTCTGAACATTACTCCTTACACACCATTTCTTTCCATTCACAGCTGTGTGAGCAGAGGTTTAGTAAAGTTTAGTCTCCTCTGCACACAATAACTAAAAACAATATAAAAACATAAACCTCTTAGAAAAAGGAGGTTATTTTATTGCTGACACAGTAAAACTCAGATCCACCTGCACATATTTTAGAAGAGTTTCATAAGATGTTGATTGCCACAAACATACTAAATGTGTAAGTGATTAGCCTCTGGGATTTTTTTTTTCCATTTTTATGCTGTCTTTGAGAGCTGAGAAGATGAATCACTGCTTCTTGAGACTGTCCCCAGCCAGACCAATACCTGAACTTCCAAGAGATTTGCATCCTCCCACATCCCAGAGTTATGAAGAATATTTTCCATTTCCTAGATTAAGGCCTCTGCTTCTCATTTAGGAAACCTGGAGTTGTTTTGGAACCCTTGCCTAAGCAAACACAACTGCAGCCTGACAGTGGCTTAAAGAGCTTCTCACTGCCCTGGAATACTTGTCACACAGTAGCAGCTTAAACCAAACTTGTCTTCAGTCTGGTACCCCAACAGCAATGCTACAGCTATGGGGATATTTTCCATTTTGTACAAGAAAACACAGAGCTGCTGAAAAGAAACACGTTTTAGTCAGCTTCTCCCCATTCAGTCTTACAGGATACTGCAAAGTCAGGCAAGAAAAAAAAATTAAAAAATCAAATCTGCCCAAATTAGGAATGTCTGCACAACTTAGATCTAACACATTTTTGGAAGCGTTGATTCATCTGGTTGTGAAACCAAAGCCATTTTTCCCCAGCTGGACCCCTTCTATTCGTAATGCAAAACGAGGCATTATTCCTATCAAATAGTTTGTCCTATTCTAAAGATCAGAGGATTTACGAGGTGAGTCGGACACAGACCTCGCTCATTCCGCACCTGAAATTATCTGGCATGCCCAAAATTTAAATACGCCCACTTCAGTTTCTCACACGGAAATTAAAACGCTCAGAGGGATGCTACAACAACACGCCTGTGTTCCCAGGGCGTGGAGGTGCTAACGCAGGGAACGCCACCAAAAAAAAAAAAAAAAGGAAAGGAAAGAAAAAAAACAGTTACCAATTGCCGGTGGATTGATAACTCCGAGTGAACAGTAAGGTTGCAGCCGGGAGGCACGTCCCGAGTCACGGGAATAAATTCACGCGCAACTTAAAGCTCGGCTGCGGACAGGACAGGACAGGGACAGGGACAGGGACGGGAGTCCTTCACCAGCCACCACCACGAAACCTCCTCCCTTCCCTCCCAGCGGCCGTTTCGGACCTGCAGGACCTTTCCATTCCCGCCGCCCTCATTCCTTCCTCCCTCCCCCTCAGCGCGGGGTCCCCCGCGCGCCCCCTCCCCTCGCCTGCCGCGCGCGCACCTTCCCCAGCTGCCGCCTCAGCGCCTCCTCCGCCACCGCCATGGCGGCGCGCGCCGCGTCCCGGCGGCCCCTGCGCGGCACCCACCGCCCCTCAGGGAGGCGGGATGGTCCCGGGCGCGGCAGCGGTTCGGTTCGTCCGGGGAAACGGGAAAAAAAGACAAACAAAACCGTCATTTTAATTCTCCTTCTAACGCACGTGAACGCTTCAGTACGCGACCGTGGCGAAGAGCTCTGGGCTGAGTGCCATTTCCAGCCGCCATGGTGTTGCAAAATGTGGAATAGGTGGAGATTATCTGAAATCAGGATATTTCTTCATGTAAGATGTTTGCATACTTTCAAGCCTAATCAGCAAGAAAGGAGACTTAGTGTAGGAACAGGTAGCACCCAGCATCCCCTAGACAAGGACATCCAGGAACTGGAACTACCAAGCTTTAAGGATGCAGTAAATCAGCATGTTGTTTATAGAATCATAGAATATTCTGAGATGGAAGGAACTCATCAGGATCATCAAGTCCAACTCCTGGCCCTGCACAGGACACCCTAAGAATCACACCGTGTGCCTGGAAGCACTGTCCAAATGCTTCTCAAACTCAGACAGGCTTGGTGCTGTGACCACTCCCCCTGGAAACCTGTTCCAGCGACCAACCTAAGGAACCTTTTCCTGATATCCAACCTGAACCTCACTCAGCTTTATGCCATTTCCTCCAGTCCTGTCACTGGTCACGAGAGTGAAGAGATCAGTACCTGCCCCTCCACTCCCCCTCATGAGGACATTGAAGACCACAAAGACCCCTCAGACTCCTCCAGGCTGAACAGACCAAGTGACCTCATCTCCTCCTGATAAGGCTTCCCCTCCAGACCCTACACCATCCTCACGGCCCTTCTTTGGACACTCTCTAATAGCTTAATGACTTTTTTATATTGTGGTGCTCAAAACTGCACACAGTACTCAAGGTGAGAACAGATAGCAGTTAGCACCCCTTAATCAAGGACATTCTGGAACTAACAAGCTTTAAGGATGTAGTAAATCAAGATGTTGATGTATGTATGCCTTGCTAACTTGGCAAAATACTCAAGGTCCATGTATCCTATAGCTAAACTGTTTTCACTATAATACTAAAAATCACACCTAGAGGTCAGAAAGACCCCTGCCAAGGTGAAGACCTTTCCCCTGAGCATGTGTAGAAGTTAGCTGGGGTTACATAACTTTTATGGAAATTGAAATTACTAACCAATCGTAATGGGGGGGCATACTTGGAAAGCTACTAGTTCTGAATTTCTGTGTATAAATAATGGCGTGGAAATTCCAGTGGGAAAAAAATAATCTCTCCAGGAGCCCACTTAGGCACGTTCTTTAGGACAACAGGCAAGGGTATGCCAATACAGAACAGAGGTTTTGCAGGTTCCCCGCATGCTACTCCTGAGGCAACTCCTTGTCAGGTGCGCATCCATGAGAATGCCTGCCACTTCCTGCATTAGGAAAATGAAATCTGCAGGAAAACATGACAGAGCCCCTATGGGAAATACAGATGTTCCTCCAGCAGGTCTCTTCTAGCATGTGATGGCTCCAGGCAGTTCTCAGCTACTGTCTTCCTCCCCTTTGTATTTCTTCTCTCACTAAGTTAACACAAATTTGAAATCTGGCTGTGCACAATAACAGAGAAGTAATCTCTGTAAATAAGACCATACATAGATATTATAGGGATGTGGGAATTTCTTCCCTCTGTGTTGATAGTATCAAAACTGATTTGTATCTTTATGGAGTTACAAGTATGTAAATACAAACCTAGCATGAACTTCTTTCCCTCCATAAATCTACCTCTTATTTTTTAAGCCTCCCTACCACACAGCAGAAATACCAGAAAACTGCCTTTTGCAAAGTGGGCCACATAAGACTGATGTCCAATTCAGAGGGAATCACAGTAGGTTCAGCTAGGTAAATGGTGAGAAATGCCAGTTCTGTCCCTATAACTACAGAAAACTGACAGATTGTAGCAGAACAGACCAAGAATGATAGTAGCACATTTCTACAGGGAGTAAGATCTCAAGAAAGCTCATACAATTTTTTCTTCCTCACTGATGTGAGGCCTGAGGCAGATATTAACCAAGAGCACAGGTTGTTGGTACAGCCATAGCAGTAAATAATTAGTTGTAGAACAACCTTTATCAAGCTTTTCCATCATATGTATTGTTTACTGATACTGATTCTGTTTCTGTGCTGAAATCGTTGTGTGTGATGTAATGAACAATGTTGCAGTTTCAGTGTTCAGTTTGGAAAGTAGCAGAGCCACAGAACGAAAAGAAAAAAAGGAAAGCCACAAAACTGGGCCCCTCAAGATCAGTCCTTCAGGAATTGGCATTGCAGATTCCAGCAAGTGCTGCACATTGTTTGCCCAGCAAGCACAGTACATCTTCGGTCACGAAGTTCTGCAAACAACTGATAGTCATTACCTTTGGGATGTTGTTTTGTGAGTAACACTGAAGGAGAAGTACTGTGAGGCAAGTTCCAAATAAATCTGCCTCTCTGTAAAAGTGTTAGCTGTTTCATGCAAAAGAAGGTCACAATACCATCAGCAGAACTCCTAAAAGAATTATTTTTAGATTTTAAGCTGTTGCTACATACTCCACTAACAAGGCAGAACTTGAGATATGCTTTTTTCAAGCACAAGCTTTCTGCCAGAATAAGTTGCTGTAGTTCAGCAGAGGTTATAACAACTTACACACACTGAGAATCTGCTTTCCACCCCTCTGAGCTTTCCCAGTGAATCAGCATCTGATTATTTTAAAATATTACTTTTTGACATGATGTTTTCCATCTCAGAAGTAGATATATAATTTAGAGCAGATACCTTAGCTTCCAGCTGTCCACGTTCAATATAACTGAGTTTCAGAAGGGAGATATAGACAGACAGTTCAGAGAAGATAGGCTGATCTTACCTTTTCCTGCAGCAGGATGCTGGGACTGTTACATATTGATCTTTCCTGCACTGCAGAATCCCAGCTACCTGGATTCACAACAGCATCTTGTATCTGGGGTTGTGAAAGCCCATCTGGAAGCAGAAACCATAGCTTGGCATTAAGGAGGACAATGCCCCATGGCTGCAGCAGCAGTGGCACTGGTGGAAATAGCCAGACTGGTGCTCAGCCCCTAGCAAGTGACAGGTGGAGCTTTATGAACCCCATGGTGAGGGGGAAGGAGGACCTCTGGAATGGGCAAGACATAGGGTAGGATGCCAAACTCACCATGGACTGGCTCTCTGTGAACAGTGAGGGCCAACTTTCCTCCTTCCTGGTGGTCTCACTTTTCCTTGGTCCTTTCCTTGAGGCCCATATTTGTGCAGAACTGCTGGTACCTCCAGGAGAGTGTTTGCAAGGCAGGATGCACGAAAGGGCACCAATGACCTGGCATGACACCTCCAAGCCCCCAGCCCTGCTCTGCACTGTATGTGCGAGGCCAGCAGCGTCCCAGGTGCTGTGTCCCTCACTCCACCTGCCCAGAGAGGCCCCTGCCCTGAGGAAGGGAGGATGGAAGTTTGTCTCAGGGACTACCACCAGTGTAACCTTGCACACTGCGCTCTCCAGGGTGGTGGGCACTGTGACAGAGACCCTCAGTAAACAAGGGGAAGTATTCTGGGCAATCTGGGTTTTGTGGTAGAAGGAACAGTAAAATAAAGCTTTACTGGGACCTCGAGAGCGCTGGTCTGGGACACATGCAAAGGCAGCTGCCTTCACCTCAGCCTCCTCCAGACCCTGTGGCTACATGCTTTTTTGGAGCTAGCAAAACCTATGTTACACTGTTACAGAATGATCAGCTCGAACATTTATCTAAACCCTTTTAAGAGATCATTTTGTTTCACAAAGGTCCTAGCACAGACTAATCTTTGAGAATACAGTTTTAATTTTTAGTCTCAAGCATTTAAACTTCAAATTTCTCCCTATTTCATGGTAAAAAAAATTAGGAAAACCTGATAGACATTTACACTTACTAGCAGTTTTGATGTTTGGAAACATTTTTAAAATCTGTGTGCACACATAAACAAAATAATCATAGAAACCAGAACAGTGACCACATCCCTTTGGCCGTGATTTACCACTACTTTCTCAAGAACACAGTGGTGATACCATTTCTGTTCAAGGCTTAGAGGTCACCCTTGACTAAGTTTATACCCAAACCACAGATGTAAATTTCTTAGTACTCACTGTTCAAACTCTCCTTTAAATTCAGAGCTGGGTGGGTCTGTGCCCTCTGACTCAAAATTTTCTCTTCATGTCATTTGCAATGAATAGCTCTGCATTTCATTAACAGATCCTAATGCCAGCTAATCTCTAGGCTAATGATCTGCCCGCACAGAACACAGCCTTGCTACCCCACATACCTCCCTGTACCAGTCCTCTGATGCTGTAGAATTTTTAAGATTTGTAGCAAATGTGGATTTTTAGTATGGCTGTAAAGTTTCTCACACAAAACCAAAACCGCCTTTAGCCCCAGAAATATCATGACCTAGAGCACTCTTTTTCTCAGTGTTCACTTTTGTTCTGAACAAGCAATAAGTCAGCTGTGTGTGTGTGAACTACACTGTGACCATTTTATATGCCATAACTATCACTTTGAAAGCACAAACCAACCAAGGCTGGATTTAAACCAGCAGCTATGAGGTACCTCAGACCTCACTGCCAACTGCATAGGGCAACAAAGAGGCTTCCACATATAATTAAAATTTTCCTGCAAGTTTCAGCATCTCTCACGCAGCTTGTAAACAGGGCTCCTCACAGCCCCAGGCCACATCACGCACCATATACTGCCATCACCGCGTTCCCTTTGTACACACAGCTGGCAAACAGAAGCCAGGCTAATAAAGGGTTTGCTGGCTCACTCACTTTGGGTGGGGGAAGAGGG